CTGGGATCATGACCTGAGCCGAAGGCAGACGCTTAACGACTGAGCCACCCGGGCGCCCTGTAGTCCATTAGTTTTACACAGAGATGTGAAAGCACTTCAGTGAAGAAAGGGCAGTGACTTCGGCAGCTGTATGTCCAAATGCAAAAAAAGATGAGCCTCAAACCATACTTTGTACTGTATGCAAAAACCAGCTCAAAATAGATCATAAACCAAAATATAAAACCTAGAACTCTAAAACTAGAAAAAAACAAATTTTTTCTTGAGTTAGGCAAAGGTTTTTGGGTGTGATGCTAAAAGCACCATGTACAAGGGAGAAGCTTTGGTACCTCGGACTCTGTGAACAGTTACATCTCCTGCTCTTTACCTCTCTCTGTTAAGAGAAGGAAAAGACCCAGCAGTCACAGACAAGCAAGAAGAGGCCAGCGTGTCCTGTGGTGGCGAATCAGAGTGGGGCATCGGGGGGGGATCTTTGGGGGATGTGTATATGCAGGGGCAGCATACAAATGTGTCTCCAGCTCTTCAGCACCCTGTAACATGGCACACCTCACCCCCAGATCTTGGTTTCTTCTACTCTTTTCCATTCAAGGAACCAGGGTTCCTTGGAGAAACAGCTGCGTCTAGGCTGGGGGCGGGGGTGGCAGAGTGTGTCACAGGACACAGGAGCCAACCGAAAGGGCCAAAACTGGAGCCATTTGAGCAAAAAACGCAGTTGTATTGGATTATAACCCACAGCGTAAAGTGATGCATCCACAAGTCCGTACTGATAAAAGTAAATGACCCAGTAGATAAGACAAGGATCTCCCGTGCAAAAGATAACAAATAACTTGTACAGATGGTCCACGGTCAGAGAAGAGCCTAACTCCCAACCTTAGCGTGGTCTGTGCATGGAGACTCACTTCCAGAGAGCACAGGATGGCCGGGGGACGAAGGGCTCCCTGTCAACAGGGCAGAGTTACTCTGTGCAGAGTGGGAGGCATGCCCGGATCAGTGTGAGACCCCTGGCTGTGTCTCTGCTCCTCCTCCGGCACCAGCTCAGCAGCCTGGGACCCCTGAGTGCAGCCATGCAGGAGCCAGATGGCTGGGCTGGGGCTTCTCAAGCCCGCCAGAGGATCAGAAGCATCTCCTCCCTGTTGCCCTTCCCTGCATCTTCCTGCCCACCTCCCGCATGAGGGGAGCCGGCTTTCTGGTCGACACTACCTACCCCAGCCCCGTGGTCCAGACCTGCTCCCAGGCACAGCCACACATCCGTGTGGGTACACATGCCACAGCGCTCCTGGGCTGGGTTCTCCTCAGCCCCAGCTGGGCATTGGCCACAGTCCTGCTTCCCTCTGAGGAACCCAGCAGGGGGCAACACCTTCCCAGCCAACGGGGGTCAGCCCCACGCAGGCCCAGGGGCCTCCTTGCCAGCCACATCGGGACCTGTGTGGGCATGCATTCCTGGCATTGTGTTCTGTGGTCCTCATGGCTCTGTTTGCTCCCCAGTGACGCAGCACATGAAAGCACTCCTGGAAAGGAACACTAAGAAGAAGTCCAAGTTGAGAAAGAAACCCAAGCCTTATGTTGAGGAACCGGATGGTAGGGCCTCTCCCCACAGCCCCTCTGCGCTGTGTCTGCACAGCTCTGCTCTCCGGCCTCGGCCGCCTGGCCTCCTTTCTCTAACCGCTTCTGGGCTGGAAGGCGTGTTGATGGGGTAGCACTAACCATCAGACTTGTGGGCTTCTGTGCTGGCCAGGGGCCCAGGTCACTGAAGGGGCTTCCGCGGGAGGCCACACCTGCCCTGTGCCTTTCTCAAGAACAATTTCCAGCTTGCACGCTGGGCTCTCGGTGGGGCAGGGCGTGAGGACAAACTGGGCAAGGCCTGCTGGAAACACCCCTAGGTGAGTGTTTGCTGAGGAAGGGCGCTGTGGGCAAGTGCCTCCCCAGCCCTGACCTCTGGCCCAGGCCACCCGGGGGCAGGGCGTGGAGCCTGGCATGGCTTCCTTGGAGGGAGCCCAGGGATTCCCCAACTTCTTCCACCAGCCCCGCCCTTCTCCTGGGTCCTGGCTCAAGACCCGTACCCCCATCCCACCACTGTCCAAGCTCCAGGGAAGCCCTGTTAACCCAGGACTATGCCCTCCCTGCTGAGAGAGCTGTCTTCATGGCAGCATTCCCTCCTGGCACCAGGGCTCTGGGACCAGCCCCAGCCCCACCTCTAGCACTTGCCCCAGCCTTGGAACACATCCCCATTCTCCAAACATGCCCCGCGTCTCCTCCTCTTAATACCGTAACTCAACCGCGATGCCCCTTCCTCTGGGAAGCTCTCTGGCTGCACACCACCCTTGGCAAGAGGGAGCAGCTGCTGTCCAGGATTCCCAGCTGCCCTTGGGCCACACCCATCTGGAACAGGAGTGGCAGGGCATCTGAGCTCCTGCTGGAGCCTGTCCAGGAGTCGGGTTGCAGCAGGGAGGTGGGCCTGGTGGGGCCGAGCGGGACACCGTGGCCCAAGACAGTGCTGGGTAGTGAGGAGGGAGCTAGAAGCCCCAGGACCCCACAGTGGCAGCTTCCAGCCACACCCAGCAACTTTTCAGGCTTAAAACCAGGGGTCGGGGCACTGAGGCCCCGGGGCAGGCCTGGACTCCTGGCACAGCAGCCTCTGGGAGAGCTGCTTCCGTCGGTCCCTCTGCAGGCCTCTGTCTCCTCACCTATAAGACTGGGTATGGGTATGCCCGGGCGAGGCCGGGACAGGCCAGTGGGCCCGAAGCAGAGCGCCCCCACACCATCGTGAACATCTCCCTGGGCTGGGCATGGGCACGGCACACCCTCCCAGGCACGCAGCGGACATCCCACAGTCAGGCCCGGGAAGCCACACCCGCGGCAGTATGGGGTGCAGGGGGGCTCCTGGGACTCGGGGCGCACACAGCCTCAGTCCTGGTCCGCCCACAAAAGCTGATACCAGCAGCTGCCATCTGCTGAGCTGTGCACCAGACTCCAAGGTCAGCCCTTCACGAGCACTTGTGGTCGGTGTTGTCCCCGTCCCCATCCTACAGGGGAGGAAGCTAAGGCCCAGAAAGGCTGCCTTGTGACCAGGTTCACTAACCGAGAGGTGGCAGCCCCCGGATCTTCAGATCACAGTCCGTTGGAGAGGCCCCCGAGATGGGAGGTCAGGGCGTATCTCACTCACCCAAGGGAGGGGTAGGCACACTCCCAGTCTGCAGCCTGCTCCTTGCTGCAAGGTGCTCCCTGGGCCCCTAGTGGCCAGTGGGCAGCCCAAGGCCCCCTTTGCCTTCCAGGTCCCCGGGAGCCTGCCAAGGAAGGCCACGTCGGCCTGTGGCAGACAGGTCCAGGTGCTGTGTCCTGAGCTGGCCTAGCAGAGGCTGCAGCTAGGACTCTCTGCCAGGGATCTGCAGATCCCCCAGGGACCTGAAACAGATTCTCCAGGGAGAATGGGAAATGTTGGTTTTCACTTTGATTACTTTAAAAAAGAATCCCCTTGCCACTTAGAATAATAATACTGTTCTGTGATCGTTCAAAATGAAAAGCTTTTCATGGGCTAAGCCATGCTTATGTTTTTCACACTGGGGTCCAAGGACCCCCACGTGCTCAGACGTCCACAAGAAACTGCTTCCTCTAAAAGAAGACTGGGGTATTTGGATTTGTGAGTTGGGTCTAGAGGCCTCCCTCTGGCAGGCAGGCACTGGGGCAGGTGGGCCCAGCAAGGCCAGAGCCTTCCAGAGAGGGTGCCAGTTCTGAGCTTGGAGGCACACATTCTGGCTTTTCTGTCTCTGTTGGTCCTTGACACCTTGGGCTGGGTGGCTCCTCTGGGCTTCGCCTCATTGTGTGTTCTTGGCCTTCTTGCTGCCTCTCCTTCACTTCCCTTCCCTTGCCTGGGCCGGGAAAGATGCCACACACATTTCAGACCCACCCTGTGTGGGATCTCCTCCTCCACTGCCTCTCCCCCACCCCCTCTCACTTCTCTCTCCTTCCCCTCATTTCTGTATCTGGAGAAGCTTCTGGCCGAGGTCCTTGCCCTCCTGGAGGCATCCCCCCATGACCACCAGCCACAACTTCTACCAGGGGCCGAGTTTTAGAAAAAACCCCTCCCTTGAGAAAGGAGACCAGTCCTCTCCCAGCCGCCTTCAGCCCTCGGGCAGAACCCAAAGGTGTCTTTCTGTGTAGTGGGCCTTCCAGTGACCCCCAGGCTTAGGACGTGGGGCATCCCCTCCATGCTCATCGTCCTTCCACATGCCACCATCCCCTCGGCCTCCCCTTCCATAACTGCTGCCCAGGCAGCCCTCAACTAAGAGGGATGGGGCTCTGCAGGCCGAGGCCCTCTCCCGCAGCTGGCTGGGGGCAGGGCCACAAGAGTGTTGGGGCTGCTGTCCAGCTAGCCCAAAGCCCACTCCTCAGTACTGGCCCAAGGCAGAGGGCACTGAGCACCTCTAGCCCTGTTGCCTGTGGAAATGACCCTTCTTAGGGACTCCCCAGGGCTAGTCTGCAAGGGGGAGCATGGGGTTTGGAGGCCCTGGGGCCCATGTCCTGCCCTGTCCTGCCTCTGATCCTTCCCAGCCTGCCCTTCCTGGCGGTGGGGAAGCGTGGGTGGGCTGACAGAGGAGTTCCTTCCCAAGCCTGGCTCCTTGAGGTGAGGAAGTGCCCCTTGCCTTTCCGTGTGGGTTTCTGCTCTAAAGGACTTAGCCCAGGACGGTGAGGACCCACTGCCCCCAGGCAAGTGGTAGGCGGGAGCCTGGCCAGGCTAGCCCAGGCCCCCACAGCTCTTGCAGGAGCTGCCTGTCCTCACCCCTCCTGCTGCTGCTTCTCTTAGCCACATGTCCACACCACGCCAACCAGCACCCATTCTCTTCCAGGGGTGGCGATAAGCACGTATGCCAAGTACTGTTACCACAAGCTGCAGAAGGCGGCCCTGACTGGGGCCAAGAAGGTACGAGCTTCCCCCAGGACAGCCGGGCGTGGGTGGGCAGGCTGTGCTGGTGACACCCAGACGGGGTTTGGAGGGAGGCCTGGACAGGCAGCCCTCACATCCTGGGGAATGCCCTGCCCTCCTTGAGTCCAGCCGGCTGGGGCTGGGGGAGGTGGCGGCTCACAGTTCAGAAGGTGCTCCAGAGAGCCCACCGAGGCAGGCAGCCAGGGAAGGCCTCGGGCAGGGGCTGCGCCCCAAGTTCAGGAGCCAGTGCAGACAAGGGGGCGTGTGGCTAGGCCGGGGCCCCAGGGCGTAACCAAGTGAGGGTGCCAGGCCTGCTGCTGTTGGGCTGGTGCAGTGAGGTACAAAGGAGAGGCAGAGCCCGTGAGCAGGCCTAGAGACAGCGCTTCTCAGCGGGGACCCTCACCCTGGCAGGCTGCCCCTGGACCCAGGGGACGCCAAGCCTTGGACTGCAGGGCAGGCTCAGGAGACCGCGACGCGCCTCTTCACTCACACTGGGCCACCCACCTGGCCAAGAGCCCAGACCCATCACAGGGCTCCTCCCACACTGGCAACCAGGGTGGGGCAGACGGGCAGGTGGTCCTCTCTGACACCCATTCTGCCCTGGGCCTTCTTAGTGCCCACCAGAGCTTGGTCCCACAGCCCCTCTAGAGAACAGGCCTGTCACACCAGACAGCTGCACCTTGTTCCCTGGTCTTAGGATGTGTGGCTCTTGGCCATCTTCTCCTCTGTCCCCTGCTCCCTTTCAGCCCCCCCCACCCCATCCAGGAAGCCCCTCAGGCCCTCCTGGGTCTGACCCTTCCCCCACCGTCCCAGAGCCTGGCTGCCCCTCCCCTCGTCCCCCCCCAATTCACTGCTCTAGCTCTGCCACTGGGAGCTGCTGCCTGTGCCCACCTCAGGCTTCTCCCCTCACCTCCAGCCCAGGTGGTCTCACATGGTCCAGATCAGCCAGCCTGGTCCCTCTATGGCCCCAGGCAGCTCTCATGCCAGGAGTCACTCCCACCTTCCTCCTGTGTGACCAGTGGGGCCACCTGAAGATTTAGGACATTGTAGGTGGCCCAACAGGGTGCCCCTCCCCCGGTGATGTGGGGACCAGGGAGTTGGGGTGCCCCGGGCTCTTTCTAGGCAGGTGCCTGGAGTTACCAGGGGTGAGAGGACAAGGGGAGAGGGGGAGGGTGGCCAAGCCAGGGACAGCCCTGGCGGGGGTGGGGGAGGGAAGGCTGGGAGCAGGGCGGCGGGACCACACCAGGACAGAGAGCTGGGCTGTCTTTGCAGGGGCTGAAGAAGCCCAACGTGGAGGAGATCCGGCATGCCAAGAATGCTGTGTTCAGCCCGTCCATGTTTGGCAGTGCACTGCAGGAGGTCATGAGCATGCAGAAGGAGCGGTACCCAGATCGGCAGCTGCCCTGGGTGCAGACACGTCTATCTGAGGAGGTGCTAGCGCTCAACGGTGACCAGACAGAAGGCATCTTCAGGTGCCCCGCAACCCGGGCCCTGGGTGTGGGGGCCTGGGGTGTCTCCACCATTCTCAGGCAGGCAGGAGCCGTCAGGCAGCAGGACCACTGGGCCGACTTCCGTGCCCCAGCCTTGGGTTTTGTGGCCAGGAGACCCATGCCCCTGTCTGGGAATAGCCAGAGGCCCCCCGACAAGAAGCCATCATGTGGGCGGGGAGGGACACCCTGGAGCAAATGGAAGGGCCACTATCAACCGGGAAGGGCAGGGCAGGGCCCCATCCTTAGGAGGCAAGTCAGAGAATCATCCCCCCGAATGGCAGCATGCCTGAACTTAGGCAGGAGGGTCAGCCAGGGACAGTGCCTCTGTAAAAATGGCCACCAGGGTCCCAGAGGGCACTTGGACAGCAGCCATAGGCAGGGCCTGAGACGTGAGCCTGGAAAGACACCCCAGCAGCAGCCAGCAGATGGCGCTCACCTGTGACTAGGGATGATAGTCCCTGCCCCATGGGGAGTAGCACAAGGCCTGCTGCCAAGACTCACCTACCCAAGCCCCGGGAGGAGAGCTGGGGAAACAGGCTTGGGGGTCTAAGGCTCAGTGGCCCTGCTGATAATGGCATCTGCCTGGGGGTGGCCAGCAGAGGGAAGAGGGACAGCATGGGGGCGGGGTCTGGCCGAGGATGCGTGGGGGAGGGGTCTGACCAGGGCAAGACAGAGTCCTCCTCGGTGAGACCCACCCTGTGCTCCACAGAGTCCCTGGGGACATTGATGAGGTGAACGCCTTGAAGCTGCAGGTAGACCAGTGGAAGGTGCCGACAGGCCTGGAGGACCCCCACGTCCCTGGTGAGCCTCCATTCCCCTAGGAGCTGAAGCAGGCCTGCTCCAGGCAGTTGAAACATTTGGGCTCCCCCTTATTCCGCCAGTGATGTCATGGCTCCCGGTCCGTTTCTAGCACAGACAACCCCTCCTATCCTGCAGTCTCCTGGGGGCCCTCCTTCCGGCTTAGCCTGCCGCTCTCCTGCACTCCCTGCATCAGCCCCCAGCCCCCCCCCCGCCCCCCGGGGTCAATCCAGGCCCTCAGGAGCACCAACGCGCCAGGGTCTGGGCCTTTCCAGTCGGGCCCGACACTCCCGCGCTCACGCCGCACGCTGTCCCTACCCTGTGTCGCCCCAACCCGCTGACCACTCCACAGCGCCCGCCCCGCCCAGGGGAGCCCGCCCAGCAGGCTGTGCTGAGCACCCGCCCGCGCTGTGTCCGCAGCTTCGCTGCTGAAGCTGTGGTACCGGGAGCTGGAGGAGCCCCTGATCCCGCACGAGTTCTACGAGCAGTGCATCGCGCACTACGAGAACCCCGAGGCCGCCGTGGCCGTGGTGCACGCGCTGCCCCGCATCAACCGCCTGGTGCTGTGCTACCTCATCCGCTTCCTTCAGGTACGCGGCGGGGCCGCCCCCACCCCTCCGGGGCACGCCCCACGCGCGGGGCCCGGCCCACCCTCCTGTCCCCCTGCGCAGGTGTTCGTGCAGCCCGCCAACGTGGCCATCACCAAGATGGACGTCAGCAACCTGGCCATGGTGATGGCGCCCAACTGCCTGCGCTGCCGATCGGACGACCCGCGCGTCATCTTCGAGAACACTCGCAAGGAGATGTCGTTCCTACGCGTGCTCATCCAGCACCTGGACACCAGCTTCATGGAGGGCGTGCTATAGCACGTGGGCCCCAAGGACCGAGGGCGGGGACAGAGCCAAGCTCGGGTGCGCCCGGGCAGGGGAGCACGCGGGGAGGGGGGAGGGAACGCCCCAGCCGCGGAGGCAGCATGCCAGGCCCCGCCCATGCCCGCTCCAGCCCTGGAAGCCCCCACCTCTCCCTCCCAGGCCCTTGGCCTGAGGACGCAGCCGGGGCAGAGGGCGAGTGGGAAGAGCGCCTCTGGGCCCCGTCCCACCCCGCCGCCTGGTGCCCAGTTCCTTGGGCACCGCCCCGCCCACCGCCGGCCGGCCAGCCCCGAGAAAGTGCCTTCTGTTTCCTGGAGCCAAGTGACACTGCCCCTCCCGGCCGGCCTGAGAGCACACGCCGCCCTCCCCCGGGGTGAGCTGCCTCGCTGGGGCTCCTGCGCTCAGCCAGGCCCTGGCCTGGCCCTTGCCCGGCTGCCCCTCTTTCCTCTGCCCCGCACTTGCCCTCGGTTTCCTTCCTGGCCTGTAGCCTTCAACACCCCGCACCCCCCACCCCCACCCCGCCACCTGTGGCCTCCATCGTCGAGACCGCACGGGAGTTGGGGGCCCCAGGGCACTGGGCTGTCCATCACCAGAGCAGGGCCCGGCAGGCTGTCTCTGGGTGGGGAGGGGCCCCCAAACCAAAGTCCTCTGGGGTGGGGGCAGGGTTGGGCAGGCATTCTTGGGGCAGGGTGGGGGAGGGGCAAGAGTATTTTTTCTTCGTGTAACTATAAATTCAGATTCTATCCAGCACACCAACCCGCCTGTGTATAAAGATATAGAGGGAAAGATACAAGAACTAAATTTGCTAATGACATAGTTTTAACCCAAATGCTATTTATCTCCGAGCCGTCCTAGCCTGTCCTCTGTGCAGAGCAAGTTGATATCACTCCATCATTTTCTTCCCCACTTTCTTGGCTTCTGACCAAAAACCAAACCCTGCCCCATCCCCATGTGGGACCTGCAGTTGAAGAGAGGGAAGGGACGCCAAGCTGGGGAACCAGGGAACGCCCAGGATTCCTCAAGGCCAGAGCTGGGGATAGGAGGTACCTAGACTCTCAGTTTGTACATTTTCCATTTTGGAATTTTGAGTTCCAATTGTTAAACTTAATTTCTCCCCAGTTTATATATATATATATATATATTTTTTAGAGTTGAGTTTTTATTTATTATTAAAAACAAAAAAGCCCAGCCCTGCCGCTGCCCGGGTGTCCGCTGAGGTAGCGTCCTCAGTCGGGTGGTCTCCGGGCCTGAAGTGGACGGCCCGGCCACAGACTCTCGCTCTGACGCATGGACTCAAGAGGTGACAACACTTTGTGTGAATAAAATACATATGGACACTTGCGAGCCACGGTCAATGCCTGTCGCCTGGTGCTCTTCCAGTCGCTGCAGGGGTCTGGGTTGGGGGCTGGGCAGCCCACTACTGCAGCCAGCCTGTTGCTAGTATGGTCACCTAGGTGGACAGGCCAGGGGAGACTGGGGGAATGGAGAGAGGGCGTAGGGGGTTGGGCTGTAAGCAAGGCTGTTTCCTGGGAATGGGGGAGAGGTGATGAGCCAGGGAGGGGGCACCAGCTGGGTGTTGGGCCCCCCCTGCGCCATCTGCGGCCACCTGGGGTATGTGTCGACCCCTAAGTCCCTGCCCGTTTGCGCAGGGAGTGGGCTTTTTGTGACGCGTCCTACCCCCAACCTGCCATAAGTTCTAGGCAGAGTGTTTATTCAGTAACTAGTTGAAAATGCAGACAGCCCAGCCAAACTGGCTTTCTCTGAGGGGTACCTCGGCCACTTGCCGGCGGCCAGCCTCCGACGGCGGAGGGACAGAGCCTGCATTCCTGCCAGCGCCTCGCTCCTGAATCCGCCTGCACCGCCGTATCACATCCACACCCCGCTGTCTGGCGGTCTCGTCCGCTGTCCCTTCCCCAGCGGGACAGCAGGGCGGGCCGCTCCCGCCGTCCCGGATTCCCGTGCGCCCAGGGAAAGCGAGCTCCGCGCCAGTGCCGGAACCCGAAGTGTGAGGCCGCAGTCGCCGGGGGATGCGTGTTCACGCAGCGCCAGCCCCGCGTGACCGGCCCGCCGCTTCCGGCGCCGGGGGAAGATGTGGCAGGCATGCGGAGCGCTCCGGACCGGCGCCCTGGCCTTGGCGCGGTCCCCAGGGACCCGGGCCTGCGGTGGAGGCGGGGACATCTCCTACACGCAGGGCCAGGCCCCAGAGCCCCGGACGCGAGAGTATTTTTATTACGTGGATCATCAGGGCCAGGTGGGCCTGGAGCGGGGCCTGAGGGGGCGCACCTGTAAGAGAGGTGGGGTCGGAGGGAGGGCCCCTGCGAGGGGCGGGGTCTCTGAGGTTAAGTGAACGTGACTGCGGAGCTGGGTCAACGAGCTGGAGAGATTGGGGCGTCGGGCCTCAGCCCCAGAGGGGTCGGACCCCCAGCAGCCAACCTGCCACACGCAGCTGCAGCTGCGTCTCGCGCGCTCTGCATCCCCAGATCCTGCCCCTCCCTGCGGTCCCCGGCCCTCGGGGCCGCCCTGCCTGATTTGCAAGCCCTGGGGGGTGGAAGCAAGTCCGGGAGCCTCCGCGGAGGAGGTGGCACACTTAATTAGAAACTTGAGGAAGGGAGAGGTACGGGGAAAGCATGGCAGCTCAGGCACCTGCACGGCCCGGAGTGCGGCGTAGATGCGGGAATGTTGGTAGGGCCCCCGGTTTACTTTGCACTCGTCTCTCTGCACACGGTGTGTACACACGAGCAAGGGAAGCGGACACTAGCCTCAGCTCAGGCCTGCCCAATGCCAACCCCGCCCTGGGGCCGACTCTGTCTGGCTCCCAGCTGGGACTCATGGGCAATGGCCTGCCCCTCTGTCCACAGCTTTTCCTGGATGACTCCAAAATGAAGAACTTCATCACCTGCTTCAAAGGTACTGCTGCACCCTCTTACCCACCTTCCATCTCCCTTCAGCAAGGCCCTGATGGGCTCTGCTCCCCAGCCTCCCCACTGGCCCGCCCGAAGCAGAGGACTGGGCATCCTGCGCACAAGAGCCCTGCTGTCTAGACTGAGGCCAAAGTGGTGGGCCGACAAGCGGTGCCAGCCCTTGGCGTTGCCCAGGGCAAGCCGTTTGCCTGGGGGAGTGGGGCCCCGTGTAGACTGGCATGGTAAGCAACCGCGCCCCTTCACCTCCAGACCCACAGTTCCTGGTCACCTTCTTCTCCCGCCTGAGACCCAACCGCAGCGGTCGCTACGAGGCCTCTTTCCCCTTCCTCTCGCCCTGCGGCAGGGAGCGCAATTTCCTGCGCTGCGAAGACCGGCCCGTGGTCTTCACGCACCTGCTGGCCTCGGGCCGCGAGCCCCCGCGTCTCTCCTACTGCGGCGGCGGTGAGGCCCTGGCCGTGCCCTTCGAGCCGGCGCGTCTGCTGCCCCTGGCAGCCAATGGGCGCCTCTACCACCCGGCGCCGGAGCGTGCGGGCGGCGTGGGCCTGGTGCGCTCAGCCCTGGCCTTCGAGCTTAGCGCCTGCTTCGAGTATCCGCCCGGCGCGTCTGCGCTGCCCTCGCACGTGCACTGGCAAGGCCGCCGCCTCGCCCTCACCATGGACCTGGCCCCGCTGCTGCTCACCCCGCGGCCCTGAGCCGCAGGTGCCCCTGGCCGCCCCCCAACCCCGCGGTCCCGCCCCCCTCCCCGCGAGGTCCCGGCCGCGCATCGCTGCGCACGCGCACCCAAAGAGCGCGCCGGCCGAATGCGCGTGCGCGGCACAGGTGCACCGCGGCCACGGTCTGCTCGGCGCTGTCCGAGGTGCTGCCGCGTCCGTGGCCTCGACCGCGAGGAGGGGTGGGGTCGCGGGCCCTTCTGCTACCTCCCCACGCCTCGGGCCTGGGGCGTCCTTTGGTTTGGCCATCGCTCACTGGGGCTGGCCGGGGAGGCCGGGCCTGAGGCGCGGGGGCTCCAGTGCGCGTGCGCGAGCGG